GAGATCCAATTTTTAAAAAGTTTACTTTTTATAGAGGAGTAGATGGCAGTGGTAAGATATATTTCATTCTCATTTTTATATAATATTGGTAAGAATATTTAGAAGGTCGACATTTGAAGAAAATTATTTACTTGTAGCTAATAGTAGTATTGGGATGTTGGAAATAAAACGAAGAATAAAATTAAAAATTTTCTTGGTAATGTCTTCAGAAAAAAATTTTAAAAATTCTTGAGTTATGCACTTTATGAGCTTAAAAAAATATTCTTTAAAGTTTCACGATTATTCCCCTTAAAGGGTTTTTAACAATTTTCTTAAAAAAAAGATTGTTGACCTTACAGTACTTTAAATATGGTCTGGTCTGATAAAAAATATTACGCCGTGTAAATTTTAAACTAAATCCTTTCCTACGTTCTTTAGGGTATTTAATTTTTTTTCGACAATTTTTAACTTTTTTGTACTATGCATCCTTGAACTCAATCCAAATTTGAAAAATATATTTCGATGTACAAATCATACTTTATGGCTAGAACTACTTCAAATATTCTGAAATTAATTTTGTTCAAAGAGACATATGAACTTTAGCTATTAATTTCATGAGGCATATTTCGGCCAAATCAAATGGATCAAATGTGAGAGTATAATTATCAAAAAGTCCAGGTATTCTTCTTAAGTTTCTTAATATTCATAAAATTTAAATTTTACCAATCCTTGTATGCTTTACATATTTATTTCCTATATTTTTCATTTACCAAATAATCTCAGCTGTGTCTGAACAATTCCTTATGCCGTGTAGGAATTCATTTCAATTAGAACACAAATTTTTACACCTTTAAAGCCTTTTTTCCTATCGACAAAACTCAAAATATAAGTAGCTGCTCACATGCATACACACTACAAACATATGCAAGTGCGCCTGTGTGTGTGTGTGCGGTTATTGCATGTACAGATGACAGCTGTATTGTATATAGCCATATGTAAATTGCAGAATGATATACAATTTTATATAAAAGTGTGGCATAAGAGGTGTATGACTGGTAAAGACCTTGAGCTTTATAAATGATTTACACTCGAGGAAATGTGTGGAAATGTGATCGGGAGAAAAAAGTTTCAATGATTGAGAGCTGTAAAAAATTATATGGCACCAACATATCGCAGGAAGAAATTTTATTTATAGCAGATTTAGATTTCTACGTTTTCTTTTATTCATTGAAGACATATAGAAGGCACTCGATCGCTAACAGGCATCATATCTTGGAGTTAGGCACAAGTTGCTTCCTATATAGAAGATCGTTATCTGTACAGGGTGAGATGAAAAACTGCAACCAATTTCAGACTGCTTTCATTTCTATGCCACTCCTCCGATTGTTTACAAGCGTATTGGTGAGAATTTTCCAGAAAAAAGGGATTTGTGAGGGAAGTCAAGCGTGATAGTGTGATTTCTTTATATTTGGCTGGAAAACCACAAGTGGCTATCGTTAGAGTACTCCAGCATTTAAATGTGAATAAATCTTTTGTGTCTCGTACCATCGCTCGTTACCGTGATACTGGTAACGTAGCCCGACGTCAAGGAAGTGGACGAAAGAAAGCTGCAACATCAGCAGAAATGGTTCGAAAATCAAAGAAGCGACTTGATCGAAACCCGCGTCGCAGTGGCCGAAAAATGGCTCGTGAGCTGAACATACCACAATATTCCATTCGGCAAATATTGAAAAATGAGTTCGGGGTAAAGCCATTGAAATTCTAAAAAGCGCAAGAACCTACACCGCAACAGAAAGATAATAGACTCAAAAGAGCTAAAGAGCTGCTTCGCTTGGCCGAAAGTGGTGAACTGCCGAATTTGGTTTTCTCCGATGAGAAAACATTCGTTGTCCAGCAGTTTGTAAAAAATTATCGTATTACTTGCCAAAGAGGTCAGCTGAAAATGTGCACCTTCGGTTGACCACCAGAACTCAAGTGCCGGCCATAATGATGGTGTGGGCCGACATAACAGCCTATTGTCGCTCTTCGCGAGTATTAATCGACCATGGCATCAGAAAAAATGCCGAATATTATGACAAAAATATTCTGGAGGGTGTATTAAAGCCTCGGGCATTCAAAAAGTTTGTCCGCAGACCTTGGACATTCCACCCAAAAATGGTTACAAAATGAGGTTCCTCGTTTCATTTTCAGCGCGCAATGACTACCAAAATCACCGGATACCAATCCGTTGGACTATTGTGTCTGGAGTATTTTGGAAAGTAGGGTTGGCACTAAAAATTTCAAAGTGTCGATCACCTCAAGCAAGAGCAACATTCGGGCATCGTGTGACGGTTTCATTGGCCGTTTAAAGGTCATAATTCGTGCCAAAGGTGTCCAATTCGAACAAATCGAAACTTTTTCTAAAATTTGATGCTATTTCCGATTTTTTTTGCTTTCATTCAATGAAATTAAGAAATTATGGCGTTTGACTTTGTTGCAGTTTTTTCATCTCACCTTGTATACGTCTTTTAATTCGTAGAACCCCTGTATGAGGTACATGATCTCTTATAGGCAGCAGAACATCATAAGTAAAAAGAGAGACAAATTCTATCCTAAACAGGAGATCTGTATATTTAATTTAATTTTTTTTTCAAAGAAAGGCCCATCGACTGACCAAGCTATTAATTGAAAGAGACTTAAATCCTGTTCAAAATGTTCTGTCAGTATAATATCTAGCAATGATTACATGTCAACAATAAAATCCTTAAGAAAGCCTTCTTATTTATGGAAGTCCTATACAATTTCTCCCATTAAAACCGTTTTTGTAGATTCCTGTAGAAGGTCACCCATTTAATTTTTCTCCGAGCGTATTTATTCTCATTTCAGTTATGTGTATAGGGCTGCTATTGCTGGCAAGCAGGTTAAAAGCAAAAATGTATGCATGTGGGTCAATGTCATTCGACTAAAGTGACACATTATTCAAGCCAATACTTAATTGACGGAACTTACAAAAGAATTTGCGCAGTAAAGAAATACCAACCAACAACCGAACGAAGGAAAGTATTAAAGGAAATGCCAAGAAAAACAAAAAACATTCAACAAAAAACAAAGAAGTGATTAAACAGTTGTAATTTTTCTTGTTGCTGTTGTTGTTGTTGTTTTTATTTGTTGTTAAAGACGACGACGAAGACGAAGGTTTAATTACCCAATGTATGACAGCTGAAGTTGAATATGGAGTGAAAAATTGCAAAAATAGCAACATGCAAATGTCTGTAGAGGAGGGGGAAAATCCTACAAGAACAGGAAGTGGATTATACTTTGGTTTATTAATAGGTATCCACGTTATATGGGAGGAGAGTAGGTCTGTGGATGGTAAAGTATTTGAAGAAGACTTATGGAACGCGAGGACATCACACATAATATATAAGATTAAAAAAAAAACTTCTAACTATAAAAAACTTATGGAACGTCCTCTATCTACGTCCGATATATCCCATCTTCACACCATATCTTGTGTTATCAAAAATATTGCGATGAGTGAAACATGAAAAGAATCTTGTGCTTATTTCGTATTTTGTGTCAAGTTTTAAAATAATTGGCTACATATTTCGCATTTTTTGAGCTCCATGGTCATTCAAAATGAAGGGAGGTACAAGAAGGAGTGGATCGATATCTAGCATCTAATCACTAAAATGAATGTGTGAAATATGAGGAGAATCGTATGCTTATGAGTGGCTTAGAAATGACAGCAGTCTGAAGTTGGTTTCAGATTTTTTTTCACTCCACGTTTGGAGTTTTTGTCTTTGAAATAATATTTTGAAAAAATCCACGTTTGGAGTTTTTGTCTTTGAAATAATATTTTGAAAAAATCCACGTTTGGAGTTTTTGTCTTTGAAATAATATTTTGAAAAAATCCACGTTTGTTGGTCCTGGAAACATATTTCGTTAGAATTTCACGTTCGTTCATCCTTGAAAAAATATTTTTTTTCAAATTCCACATTCGTTGGTCTTTGAAAAAATATTTTTTCTAAATTCCGCGTTCGTTGATCCTTGAAAAAATATTTTAAAAATAATCCAGGTTTTTTGGTCTTTCAGTCCTTGAAATAATATTTTGAAAAAAGCCAATATTCTTATTCATTGGAACTTGAAAAAAATATTTTGAAAAAATTGACGATTGATGGTTAAAAAAATATTTTGAAAAAATCCATGTTTGTTGGTCAGTTGGTCGTTGAATTTTTTTAATATTCACGTTTGAAAAAATCCAATATTTTTAGTCATTGAAAAAAAATGTAATTCCACGTCTGTTGGGATTTGAAAGATATTTTATAAAAATCCACGTTTTTTGTCCTTAAAAAAAATATTTTGAAAAAATACACGTTTGTAAGTCTGTTGGTCCTTGAAAAAATATTTGGAAAAAATCCAAGTTTGGTGGTCTCTTGGTCCTTGAAATAATATTTTGAAAAATCCAATATTCATACTTAAAAAAATATATTTTTTTTCAAATTCCACGTTTTTTGGTATTTTAAAAAATATATTTTTTTAAATTCCACGTTTTTTGGTATTTGAAAAAATATTTTTTTTTTCAAATTCCACGTTTTTTGGTATTTGAAAAAATATTTTTTTTTTCAAATCCACGTTTGTTGGTACTTGGTATTTTGAAAAAAAAAATCAACGTTTGTTTATCCTTGAAAAATATTTTGAAAAAAATCCAAGTTTCTTGATCTATTGTTCCTTAAAATAATATTTTTAAAACATCCAGGATGACGAAAGCCCTTGAAAATAAAGTGTTTTAAAATTTCACGTGTGTTAGTCCTTGGAAAACATTTTGTTGGTCCTTGAAAACATATTTTAAAAAAATTTACATCTTTTGATCTGCTGGCCTGAAGTAAATCTTAAACATTCACTTATGTTGGTCATTTGTTACTTGAAAAATATTCGTACGAATATTTTAACAAAATCTTGAAAAATTCCCGATTAAATCCACAAAAAATTCTTTAAAAATCCACTATCTCTGACTTACATTTTTTTCTTTCTCTTTACAGTTTTACACACATCAGCGAGTTTAGCGTTAAATGAAAGTTGGGATCCGGATGTCAGGTAAAGTATGAATTCATTTAGTGTTACCAAAGTCATAATAACCCTTTCTTTCTTCTTACCCACAGAGACGACATGGAAATGATGTTAAATAAAATAGTTCCCGAAGGATTACCCTATAGGCATTCATGTGAAGGTCCTGATGATATGGTGAGTTGTTTTCACCTCTCTTTTGTTATATACATTCATTAACACTGGTTTTTCTTGTATTTCAGCCTGCCCATGTGAAAGCCTGCTTTCTCGGCAGTTCATTGACAATCCCCATAACGGATGGTAAATTATCCCTTGGCACTTGGCAGGGTGTTTGGCTATGCGAGCATCGTGATCAGGCCGGTTCACGAAAATTGGTGATAACATTAAGCGGGTGTCCGAGAGAAACGGCACGCAGTCCCCTATCACCGGTGTCACCAATTGCCTCCACATCCAGTTAGGGAAGGCCTCGCTCCACCCGTGATAGTCGGTAATCGCGGGGGAGCGACAATAATGAACGCATTTCGTCGTCGTCGTCAAGGAAATTAATTTTGAATAGAAATTTAGCTAATACCAATTTAAATACAACTAATAAAATGATGATGAACAGGCGTGGCCTGCCGCAGCAGCAGCATAGCGCCGCCGTCGCAGCCACCACCAACACAGCATCATCTGTCTCGGATGCAGCCACAACTCCAACAACTAGCGCATTATTAAATGAGAGTAGACAATTGTTGTTAAAGCAGCAATTAAAATTACAATTAAATTTAAATGTTAGTGAAATGATGGATAATTTAAGACGTAGCGTTGATAATGATTACAACAACAAACATCAAAAGCAACAGCAACAACATCAACAATACGATGGTGATCTGAATTGGAATCGGAATCTGAGTTTAACTCGTGTCCAAGAAGAGGAACAGCAGCAACAGCACGATAGCAATATCATTGTGTCTAGAAGAGGGGGTACTACCATGGTGGCTGCCGACAGGGAGGTGATGGTGACAACAACCAGCAAAGCCTACAATGCCACAGCCAACAATGCCAAAGCCCGCAATGCCCGCCATGCCAACATAAATGCCATGCATGCCGCCGCCGAGGAGCAGGGAAACGAGAATGGACAAAATAAATTAGATACCGTCACAACAGTGCCTCAATTACAACAAAAATTTAATAAATTTAATATTATAGCCGATGAAATAACAACAACAACAGCAACAACTACGGATGCCGCTGCAGTGAGAACAAGCATTGGCGCCGCAGTGACATTAGCGACAACATCCTTTGCATCGGCCACCGTTGCCGGTGTAACCGTTACCACTCTCATGACCTCGACGTCATTGTCGTTATCATCATCAGCCGCAGCCGCTGGAACAACAACAACCACAGCAACAGCAGCAACAACGTATACATCATTAACACAAAAACAACCATTGAATACGGCATTAGCTAAATTTAATCGAATTATTGACAATACAGTGCCGGTAATAAATAATTATCAACAGCCGTCGCCATTACAGGTTGCTGATTCCATTACCAAATCACAGCAGCAACATCCCCAGGAACAACAACAACAGCATATTGTAGGGATGCCCATATTAAGTGATAGTTTAAAACGTAGATTGGCCTCACATCATTATACCGACCTCGTTGTAAATAATTCAAAAATTAATTTCTCATACGAAGATAGAAGAACCAATGTGGAAGCAACCACTACCACCGCCGCCACCTTCACAACCACTACTACATCCCAACCACAGTCATTATCTAGAACGACAACAGCAACAACAACAGCCACAACCACAGACTCATCTTCATTAATATCTTTGGAAAGCATTACCACCATGCCCAAAAAGGTATCAATGGAAGATGAGTATGATGAGGATGGTGCCAGTAGTGATTGGAAACGAAATGATGTTCATTATTTGTTGAAACAATTAAATAGTTTTAGTGATATTGAAGAAATAGAAATTGTTGATATGAAGCAAAAACAGCGTCAGCAACAACAAAAGCTTATTATTAGAGAACAAGAGCACCAGCTGCAGCAGCATCTGCATCTGCCAAATGCTGTTGTTCAACCGCTGACTCAGAGTCAAACGGAAATTGCCGCCTCCGCGCACTTGCTGGAGGCGAAAAACCTAACTGTGGCCTTGCCACCCACACCACCTGAACAATATGTTACTAATGCTTCCTCAAACATAATAGCCCAATCCCATAGTTATGCCTACACGACCACAACACCAAGTATTTCCTCCTCCTCCAACTATCACACGCATCCTCCCGTTTCCAGTTTACCTCAATATATTTCTAGTTATTCAGCACATATTTCGGAGCTTACACAACACTCTGGCAGCGGAATAGTTGCTGATTCTGAGCATGAGCTTGAACAGCAGCAACGGCACGATGCAGCAGCAGCAACAGCAGCAGTTACTCACATGGAAAGCAAGCAACATTCCACATCGCCCCTAGTAGATTCACCCACAGCCACTTCACTTGTGATATACTCACCATCGTCACAATCGCACAAAGGCATACGGCGTTATGCCTCCCTAAATCAGCAACAGTCACCGGATGAAGATGAGGACAGTCATCTGCATCATCACTATCATCAACGCCAGCATCAATGCTTTCATCCACAACATCACCACCACCATCATACACATCATCACCCGTTTACACATACTAGCGCCCGCCTAACACACGAGCATTATTCCGAAGGATCCATACTGGACTCTGCTGTGGCAGCACGAGCTGCAGCAGCCTGTGATCCGCTGGCCTTACAACAATTTGTGGATGATTATATATTTCAATCCTGCCATTATTTGGAAACAAATAATTTTGCCGCCAACTATTGCACTGCCATGGTCGAGTCCTCGTCACACGAGTTTCGGCCGTCAACCACCACCACCACACGCACCTCCAATGAGGAGTACGACGATGAGGAGTGTTACGTTGAGGATCATTCATCGGCCCATTCGTTTGAGCTGCATGAATGTGAGCCGCCCACAGTGATATGCAAGGCCCCGGCACCGCTGGCCGCCGACAGCACATTGCTGGCTCAACCCCAACCGATGCGCTCCTCAATGCGTCACTTGGCACCGATAACATCAATGCCCACAGCACCACAAGCCACACCACCACAATATACAATGGAGACACGTTTATGTAGCAGCGGTGTACAGACTGATTTAACGGCTCCATCTTTAGCGCAAAGTTTTAGCCTTAGTTCATCGACATCATCGTCATCATCAACGGAACAACGTAAACGTAAACAGCCAATATTCAAGTGTTGCTACACACCCTTGGATCGGTGGCGGGAAAAACGACAACAGCAACAACAAATCGAATTAAAGAAACGCACAAAAACTGTTGTCGCTGAACACCAACAGTTGACTGCTCACACCAATGCCAGCCATGATAGTAAGGCTGCTGCCACCACCTCCACTACCACCATCACAACTCGGTCGTGTTTGAAAAACACCAAAGTTAGTGTAATGGCGGTAAGCGGTGGCGGTAGTAGTATGGCCGGTGTTTCCGGTTCCTCTGGTATTCATAATGCAACCACAACCACCACCACCACCACAACATTATCATCCGCCGCAGCCATAGTTGTCCATTCACAGCATCATTCTTTACCAACAAAAAATGCACCTTATGCAGTTTGACAAATGCCTTTGAAGCAACATGTTTTTTGGTTTTTGGAAAAATGTTGCTTGCTTTCTAGCCATTTATATATATACTCTTACCTTAAACTAACAAACAACAACAACAACAACAAAAATACTAAACGATACAAAAACAACAAACACTATATAGTTTTCCTTTTTGTAAAAATATAAAAAAATGGAAATTTTTGCCGCCCACTTAAATACAAAAAAAAAAAAACATTAAACAACAAAAAAATATTGAAAAAAAATTACAAAAAAAGAAAACACACAATGAATGAACAAAAAAAAGTAAAACAAAAAGAAAATATTTAAAAAGCCGCCGCTGTCTTATTTTTGTAAATCTATTTTTTCTCTTTTGCGATATCAACAATTTTTTGCTATTTCCTAAACAAACGAAAACAACAACAAAAACATAAATTAATAATAACAACAAAAATACTAATTTTGTATAACCTCTTTACACACAAAACCAAAACCAAAAAAAAAGTAAACAAAAAACTCCAAATCCTCCCTTCCCCCCCTCCTCCATACCTCCATCAAAACACACAATTAAACAAAATCTAATTTTGAAAGAAAAAAAAATCAAAATTAAATTTTCCTTACATGCATAACGTACGTACACTCACTCATTATATACATATAAATATCAATTAAATTCACCACGCTAAGCAATATCTGGTATATTTCTTCTAACAAAATATCACAATCATCTTTCTTCCTAAAATGATTTTTTTTTTAAATTTGTTTTTCAAATCTACACAGCTCCTCACAACTATTCACCCGATAATATATAAATATATATAACTTTAATAACAATAACATTAAAACTATTTGAAGAACAAAAACAAAATTCACAAAACATCTTTCTTGTTTCGCAACAAACAAACAAACACACACCCACATCTATCTCCATTAATAAAGCAGAAGTTTGTTATAAACAAAAAAATGGTTTATTAAAAATACATGATTATATAAAAAAATATAATTAATATTAATAATTGCTGAGCAAAGACCTCTTTTCTTAAAAAAATAAATAAAACAAACAACTATTGTAAAATATCAAATGTGTAAAGCTCCTTATTTTTTCTTTAATTTTTCTATATAAAATATATTATTTACTAACACCCATTGTTATTTCTCCTTATATATTATACTTTTTTATATTATGCTGAAGTTTTAAAATGTTTTGGTTATAAATATTATTCAGTGGGTATTTTTTGGTTTCTTTTATATAAATATTTCTGTTAAATAATCTCTTTACTATTATTATGGGCTTATTTTTTTTTTTTTTTTTTTTTTTGTGAATTAATAAATATATTGTTTATTTCCTTGATTTAAAAACATTAATTTGTTTTTCTTTTATCTTCAAAGTAATTTTGATTTTCAATATTGTGGAATACGTTACATATAGGGTGAGATAAAAAAGCTGCAACAAAGTCAAAAGCCATAATTTTTACATTTTTTATAGCCTACAACACTATGTTTTTTGGGGGTATTATAAGTTTGATTGGGCCAAAAATTATATAACACCTCAAAATATTGGTTTCCCCGATAGGAAAATATATATGGATCTTGCTGAGCTGAGTCGATCTAGCTATGTATGTCCGTCCGTCTGTACATGTTAACTTATAATGACTCTGCAGGTCACAATTATGGCCCGATCTTCACGAAATTTAGAATGGAGATTGGGCTAGAGTCAGAATAGAAGCCTATTGCTATCGCATAATATTAAGGGGTTGAAATGGACCAAAAATTGAAAAATTTCCTTATTTTGCAGTTGGTCTACAGATCGGAATTATAGACTA